GGCTATTTTTTTGTTGAAGTTTGGCCTGCACCGGGTTCGAACCCGTCACCCTCGGTACATAGGGCGGGTACCCTACCCACTGAGCTAGAGGCGCCGCCTAACGTTTGGGCTTTTGTTCTGAGGGCCCTCGGGGCCACGAAGGAGACCTCTATTTATGGACCACTCTTTACCTAACCCTGTGCTAAGTGCTCTGCATAAACTCACCATTAAATTCTCCTCAGACGACTGGGCTCACAAGCAGCGACAAAGACCGAGTGGGACTTGAACTTTGCCTACCCTTAACCCTAACAGGTTAAGGACCCAGAGAGGCCGGAGACAAAAGCCGGGAGGTTGAGGGGCAGGAAGACCCCAGCCAGAGTTAATCTTCATTGTGTCAGACGCCGTTCTAGTTCTCTCCAGGCGTATGAACTCATTGCTCACACCAGCCCAGAATGGAAGTACTATTCTTACGTTGCTTCACGCCCTTTAACTCTACCTGCCAAATCGCTCCCACCAGAGAAGGGCTTTTGCCTACGTTCCCATCGCGGTATCCGGAAACCAGGCCTGCATGTAGTTAGGCGGTACAGGCGGAGCGCGCATTTCCTGCGGGCCATAAAGCCCACCTTCCAGACGGGGAAACTGAAGCTCAGAGAGAGGCGGCCACACCCTAACCCCTTAACTCAGCCGCCTGGTTCCAGCCCTTTCCACGAACCCCTCCCTTCGGGGACGGCAGAAGGGTTCTGGGTAAGAGACCCAGTTGCGCAACAACAAAGCAGCGCAGTTTCCAAACATCGGGCTTCGTAAGACAGTTGGGCGCCAAGGAGCGCCGCGGAAAACCCGCGTCCGGGCGGCCTTGCTCCTCTAGCTGTCCCGCAAGGAGGAGAGACCCAAGAACCGCAGCCTCCTCGCACGCTCGCCCACCCAGGAGGCCCACGCTGAGGAAGGGTCGCCTACAACCAATTCCGTATGCAGTAGGGCGCGGTTAGTTCGGGGCGCCCGGCCGGCGGGGTCGTACCATTCCCGGTCCGGGGGGACCTGGGAGGGGCCGCGCGGAGGTCTTCTTCCAGGAACTTCCTCTATCGAGACGCTGCCTAGCTCAATGAGGTGACGTGAAGTATGTTGGCGACGGGCTCTCTCGGGGCGGGTTGCAGGTCCGTTGTCTCCTGCCTGAGCGCCTCTCCGTCCTCCGCTCCAACTCCCCCCTCCCGCGTTGGTTCACGCCACGATCGCGGACTCGCAGGCCTTTCTGCGCAGGTGCGCGGCGGAGGGCGCAGATCTCGCAGGTCCACGCGGCGGGTCGGACGGTGCAGGTGTCCACTGTGTGGCTGGTGCTGCGATCCGGAGCCATGGGTCTCCAGGTCCAAGTCGTTTATTGGTAAGTGCGGTCAGGTCTTCCCTGACCCTGCCTGTGTTGGCGCTGGGGTCTGCGAGCGTAGCGGGGAGGACTCCTGGGGACTCTGAGGGGAGATAAGGGATGCCAGCGGGGTGGTGGCCGGACCGAGGGCGCAGAGCCGCCCTTCTCAGTGTGAGACATACTAGGCATCTCAGATTGTAAAAGGTAGAACTAAGACGCGTGTGTGTCCGTTTTAAACATCCGACTCCGAGGTTTGGATGGGGGGAGGGGTGGAGATCAGTTTTGTGATGGGACTTAAGCTTCCGTCTACCCTTAGATTTCCTCTCCCCTTATAGCCTGAACAGTCATGGGCGAGAAGGTTCGAGAATGCCTTGAATGATACATTCTGGACTTCTGCCCAGTGGGTTCCCTTGGTTGTTGACCACGCTCCATTTCTGGCCTAAATTTCCCCATCTGTAGTGGGTGAGGTGACTTTAATAGTTATTCCGGATGACGTGCTTTAAACCACACCCACCATACTATACTGGCATGCAGTAGGTGCTTAATAAATACATGTTCGGTGGATTTACCTTCCCAGAAACCCCTTCAGGGAGAGGAATTTTAGCTTCCTCTTACAGCTGAGGAAACTGAGGCTGGGAGTGGGTGAGGGGCAGCAGGTCAGTAGCTTGAGGTCCAGACCACAGTGGCCAGGTCTAATGTGAACCCAGGTCCTTTGGCTGTACTATGTGTAATGCCCACCTAGGGTCTGATCTGTACCAGCATTAGAAATGTTTTTGCCTCCTTGACAAAGCAGAGGCAGGAATGACATTTGGAGACACCCACCAGGCCTATGTACCAGATTCCAGTCCTTAAATAGCCTGACTGGGGGTTGGGGAAGCTTGTGTTTCACTCATGGGACTGGGAAGGTGTTTAGAGCCCAGGAGTAACAGGCTTTTTCTTAGAGCTGAGGGCACAGGGAGGGAGCTGGGTGTTTTATTTGTCCCATTCTCCATCTAATCCAGTTCTTCTGTTTCCATCCCTCTTGCCTTCTTTGTTTTGTGGTCTCCTTATACTTGCTCATCTCTGTCTGCCTCCCCGTTGTCTCTCTCATCTCCTGTGCTTGGTTTGGGTTTCCTGTATCTGTGTATTTTTGTGTGGATGAATTCCTCTTTACTGTGTCTCTGCCCCCTCTCCAACCCCCTAATATGTCTGGTATTTGTCTTATCCCTGGGGTGTGGCCATCACTGCCTCCGTTTTATCTGCTGTGTCCCTCTTTATCTCATCTGTCTGCCTCTCCCCTGGACCCACTCTCCTGGACTCTCCTATCAGTGGAGCTTGAGGCTACAAGTCCAAGGTAAGGATGGATAACCAGAAGGCATCCCTGGAGATTGTGGGAGGACTAGAGTGCATATGGGGGCGGCTAGTTGGTATAAACTCTTTTGTGATCGCCCACCTTGTTCTCAGTATCTTCAGCTCAAGAAGAAGTTAGAAGATGAGTTCCCTGGGTGCCTGGACATTGTGAGTTTCTGGGATGAGGAGAAAGACTCATAAACAGGGGCACTTGTCTGTTTCTTAGACCTGGATAGCAAGGGGGGTGGGTTAGGTCAGCCCTGCCCCCTTCTCCTATGTTCTCCAT